GAGCCGTGCACTTGGAAACGGACGCGGTCGCGCGTTGATGATAACGATGTTTCGATTTTTAACGACCGTGGAAAATGATAATGCCTAGCTTTTCATTTCAGCTCGCTTATAATCAGTATATGCAGAATATTTCAAAATTATTATGATATTTGAGTAGCACATTCAGAGAGCTTAATTAAAGACAAAATTCAGAATGTAATATTGCCGAAAAATATTAAATATCATAATGCAAGTATCACAATAAAATATCAAAAAAAACAATAAAATCAATATATGGTAATAGTTAATCAAAAAAATTCTAAAGGCTAGAGTTGGTTAGTGACATTGCGTACATTTTATGTATTTTGCGTACATTTTGCGTACATTTTGTGTATTCACAATTACCCACGTCGAAATTTTAATTTTACAGTGATCCTGCTGTTCGATTTGAAAGATCAATGGAGAATTCTAATGTGTAACACTATACAATCATCTATTTTTTAATGCTTCCAAAATATTAGATAATCGCTAATTATTGTACAAACAAATAGATAATAAAAATAGATAAAATAATACACTTTCGTTTTTTATAATTTTTATTATTATTTTCTATCCATTGTATGAAATTTATAAATTTGAAAGAAGTGAAAAAGAAGGACTTGTGAAGACAAACATGGAAGACATTGTGTATTCAGAAGCATCAATAGAAATTTGAATATGTTAGAATAACAAGAAGTAAACAGAAATGAAAAGAAAACGTTGTCAGATTCAATACTATACTTGCAGTCCAGAGAACATTGTTAGAAGCACAAACTAGCATTTGCAAAACATACGGAAGATTCTATATTTCAACTCGGGTATGTGTACTGATCTGTTATTTAACCTAAACTAATATTAATTTCTAACTGATTTCGTCTTTTGTTGTTTATGTGACTACTGTGTACTTACTATAGCAATCAGCTGATATATCAATTCGATACGGATGTATCGATGTAAACTATTAAAAATGTTCACAATATTCAATGTAGCAATGTACAACTGAACCTACTCTTTTCGCTAAGAATCAATGCGATTTAAGACATGCATATTATGATATGATAGAACGCTTCTAGAGCGTGGAAATTTCACACTCACCATCCGATGAAGTTGAAGTTCGACGACGAAGTTCATCCTCAACTGCGTCGCTCCGGAAGCGTCAGTTGTGTCCAACGTCCTCGTCCTGCGTTGTCCTGCGTTGGCTGCACTTTCACTCGCGACGCGATTCACAGTCACAATCGAACGATGTTTAACGAGTATCTTGGCGGAATAGGCGTAACGTTTAATCTCGAGACAGTGACGTATGAATTTGATTCACGAAAGACGAAATCGGAGTTTGTAAATTTATTCAATGAACATCTATCACACCAATATACCTGAAAACGCGAAAACGCGAATCGTGTGTAAAAAAAAGTCGCGAATTGAAAATCGATCGCGCTGTTCGCGATCAATGTCGAAAGCGATCAAAGTCGAATCGTACGCGATCGAAGTGGTCGAAACTGGCGTGAACTTTTCACGCGTGGGTTCGCAGTACTGTGCTGCGAGAATTGCTCCGCAGTAAGTTTGCGAAGTGTACTTTAGTGATGTTCCTCCGTTTCAACAGAGGATTCTTTCGGAGGAATGTACTCGCGACGCGAGTATCGATATTTTGCAAGCAAGTGCCGTGAAATAGCTATCTCGAGGAGGTTAGAGTGTGTCCAACAATTTACGTGAAAAATTCGATATGTACATATCTACGTTTTTTTAATATTGTCTCTTCTTTCTGTATAATTCCGCGAAATCGATTAACTTAATTTTCACAGGATCAGGATCAGCAAACTGCTACCAATATTATTTCTCCTTCGGTCTCAACTTTTCAACGGTCTTTGTTTAAAGTAGTTGTTTCCCAGCTGTGGTAGTCAAAATTAGATTTTAAATAAAAAGTTCAACAACCAGTGAATTCTTTTCAGTGAAAGTGAAAAACAGATTTTTAATCATTATTGGTTCTTTCAAAATAGTAAAAATCGATAAAATAAATAAAATGATAAAAAAAAAACAATATGCTGAATTGTGTGTAGTCGCGGAACTGTAGATCATGGCAACGTCGCATCTCTATTAGTGCTATGCGACGCCAAGCTCCGAGGAATGCAATGTTGCCACATCCGCAAAGCATGGTCGCGAACGAAAAAGCAAAAGCCACAGTTATTTTTGCTGATTAATCATACTCTAATAATGTACGGTCAATTTCGCTAAGACTGTAGTATGTACTTCTGTAAGTATTCAATTAATTTTGCCCAAATTTTCGTATTAATCCTTATTGTAGGTCATTTGCAGCTGACAAATGCGCGTTTACGTGTTACTTTTTGTACGTCAGCGCCATGTAAGATATCGAGAAAAAGAGTCAATTATAATTTCTCGGAAACTATACGGTTAATCGAACCCATATTTAACACACATACATATTAATTACGTACCTAAATTAATTTTGCTACAAGTTTCAAGAAGATCTGTGTCTTCACGGTTTTTGACCAAACTACCTTAAAGTCGCGAACTACATCCGAAAGCGAAGATCGACGATTGTTTCGAACTGTGTTTATAATCGCGTCATCTGCACCTGTCAGGAGATTCCGGTAACACGTGGACGCGGGTATGTCTGCGACCTACGATTCCACGAAATCTTATCTCAATGCTTACAGAAGCGCGGCCTTGTCCCCACCGCCGCCGCGGCATGTCAACACGGCCACCGCGCGGTCATTGACACTGTCCGACAACGTAAACACAACGCGCCGAAGCTCGCCCGTAACACTCGAATGTACCGAACATTTTCAGAGCCATAACTCGCGAACGAAACTTCGTAGACGCGTTGAAAAAAAAAGAAAACAATCTCGCGTGTGTTTCCTCCGTTCTCTTGTTCCCGACTCAAAGGATGACCGCGGCCAAACATCGTAACGACTCTGAAATTGAAATTTTCGCGAGACGCAACAGTTCTTCGCGTGTATGTACGTGCAATGTGTATTCCTTGTTTCTGCGATCAAGTATACGTACGTGAAAACATCTTTCATTAACGGCGAAATTTAAAGAAAGCCTAAATTATAGACGCCCTGGAAAAAAAATCTAAAGAAGACGTGTCCCTTTAGATTCTGCAAATCGTTGACACTCTGATCTGCCCGATAGATTCGCGATATGTGTAATCGTACGATAAGCGTAAATAAACTGTCTCAGAAAAAAGTTAGCGGATCAGTGTTATGATTTTTGTTTTCCTCGCGAATCGTATTCGCGTGTCGCGAATGAAATTCTGAAATACTTTGTATGAAAAATTATGCCCGCCACGAAATGAACGTATTCAAATTATTACTCGAGCAAAATAATCATTAGATGCGTGAAATTATTACATTAAGCTGCTTCGCGCGCGATACTTTATCGAACTTTATAACCGCGATATTAAATTTAATTTAACAAAGTTCATCTCCGCTCGCGAAATATAATCATAACGTGAATGCGCGTATGAGAAATTTAGAACATTAATGATGGCGACGAACGCAAAATCAATCAACAGCGAACGTAGTAACCGCGAGTTTCACTCGCGTTGGCGCAATTCTGATGCCGCATTATACACCACTCGAAACGGTTAGAATATCACACTGAATGAATAATCTTGTTAAATAATTCTACAGATTCAAGCAAAAGTAAAAGCAGCTAAAATATCGTCGTATTTACGTGAATATGTATACTTAAAAGATTAGTATCAATCATTAACATTAAATATTTGATGATACGTCTATTATTAAATGACATAATTATTTATATAAATCAAATTATATCATTATTTATATCAAGTCAAATTATATCATTATTTATATTAAATAAATTATATGATGACCACAGAAGGAGGAGGGCGTACTAAATTGCGGCGGGACGCCGTACGTTCGAGATCTGCGTATCTTTTTCGTTCCAGAGAGAGAAAAATATCGAGAGCGCGGTTTTGCTAAACCGGGACTCGAACCCGGGTTTTTCGTTTGCCGGGCGACTGCTCTAAACTATATACTAAGCTACCTGACACTCCAAGCTTACGATACTCTCCTCTCCCTAGATAACGCTCAGAGATGCCGTTCGGAAACGATATCTCTGGTGCGATCTCGAGCGCACAGCGACTACAAAGAAAAACAATGTTACTGTACCAAATAGTACAGCTGTCAGTCTTTCAAAGTCAAAGATTGCTATCCTTTAAGATCTTCTGTCCATGTATACCCGTCTCCACTATTGCCCCTCCTCATCCGGTGCAAATAATACAAATAAGCCCCGGGGTCGATACCAATTTTTTGACAGCCCCCGGGTGCTTGGACGCAATGCACCATGGGGGATCTACCATAGAAGAAGGAGGGCGTACTAGGTGACGGAGAGATATTTAACCCTACAGTCGTCGCATGGGATCTTTAAAAGAATATTATATCCAAAATAGTCTTTTCTTATTTTTTATATAAACCCAAAAACCTAATTAAACAAAGAAAATATTTAAGTTTTTAACATAAAAGATATAAAATAATTTTTTATATTGGGGTTCCCAAGATCCCATGCGTTGACTCGTGTTCGAAAAGTAGCGCGACGACTGTAGGGTTAAAAACGTGATATTTTAATTATTTCAAGCGGTACATTTGATTTCATTAAAATGTGAAAGCCCACATGCAATAGACTACGAACAAATTAAATCGCATTGATTTTAGCGAAAGTTTATAAAAACCTACTCACGAACCCATCACCTTAACTCGTACTCATGTTTCTTTCATAAATGACTCACCGACTTAGAAACAGCTGTCAGTTACCGAGATCTGAAACAAAAAGAAAAAACAATCACGTCAGTTATATACATTGGAAAATTTATAATTTATTTAAATAATTTAAATAGTTATTTAAATAGTTTATTTAAATAGTTTATTTAAATTTATTTAATTTAAAATGAACGAGTTCGCACAGATTCGAGTAAATTTACCCTTCGCTAATTGAAACTATTCTGGTTATGTTCCGATATTTACTGTCAGTACTGAAAATTCATAGTATACATAAAACGAACTATAGATCTTCAGTACTGGCAGAGAATATCGGAACGCAACTTCTGACAACTACTACGTTGTGAATTTCGACAAGAGAGGATTAAGAAAAAGCTACCAACCTGCGGGCCGACTCTGCGCTGCCCGAACCGGATCCTCCGGTGCGGCATCTGCACACATCGGGATCGTGGCTGCCTTCGCGATACTGCTGCAAACTCCGTTAAATCTGAAACAAAAAACAGTTTATTTAATTAGTTGTAGCAATAGAGAAGCTGCTCGGCCCCGCCGAAGACGGAGTATGGAACGAGAAAGTTAGTCAAATTGCGCTTGATATCTCTCTGTTTCTCAAACTTACTAAAACTAAAAAATTAACATTACCTATTGGACTTATCGATACTATAGGCGCTTACTACGACGATCCCAGCATCGTAATTTACGTCTAAAGCGTAACGCCAGCGAAACGCGAAATATTACGCACGACGCGACTCATTGTGTACTACGCGGCGGCGGCGACTCAAGTGGCCGCCGCTGCGTCGCGAGCCTAGCCGCGCGCCTACTGTTGTGTGTGTCTCCAAGGTCGCGCAGTCCTTCGAGACACAGACTCGTAGTTTCGTTATATTTCGACGCGGGATAGCCCAAGACAATGGCGCAGCATGTTAATAACGTATTCCAGAATAACATTACGACTAAAAAAACCGATATAGAAATGTCCAAATTCGATGAATTTCCAATTGCGAATTATCGATAACATGAATGAACGTATGTAAAATTTAGAAAATTAATAATTGCAGCAATTCTAATGTCGCATCGCACACTGCTTAAAAATGGTTAAAATGGTTAGAGTATCATACTGAATAAATAAAAATCCTATTAAATACAGTTCAAATATAAATGTAAACACCTGACATCGCAGTTACGCAAATATATATACTTGAAAGACTAGTGTCAAAGTTATTAAAATTGAATATTCAATGCTTGGAAATATCTATTAAATATTAAAAAACGTGATACTCTGAACGGTACATTCTAATTAATTAAAATATGAAGTCCATGTTCAACGAACTATGAAGAAATCAGATCACATTATTTCCTGTGAAAATTTATAAAAATTTCTCACCGATAAAATCATTATTTTCAATTGTTGCATTCGTGTTTTTCTTTTTTTCTATCTGTGGTTCACCGAACTCAGAATCTGGCACATTAGCTACGCTGAGATCTAAAGTAAAAAAAAGAACAATCACATTAGTCATATTTAAAGATTCTATTTAACGAGTAAATTTGTAGAGATGAATTAACCTTTAACTGTCGTAATTCAAGCTGTTCTAACAACTATGTCCTGAATTTCGATGGGAAAGGGTTAAGAAGAGAAGTTAACCTACCCTCGAGCTCCACGCTGTCCGAATCCTCTTGTACGGCGTCGGTACACATCGGAATCGTAGCTATCCTCGCAATACTGCCGCAAACTCCGCTAAAACAAAAAACAGTTTCCTTCATTAATTGTAGCAATAGACAGGCTGCTCGATCCAGTCGAAAGCGGAGTACAGAGTGAGGAAGTTAGGTTAGGTTAGGTTAGGTTGAGTTAGTACCAATGTATCAAGTTCCGCTTGTAACATTTCCTCCTTCAAACCTAATACGACTGAAATATGATGATTACCTATTAGAGTTCTCGATACTGTAGGTCCTCACGATGATCCCAGCACTGCCGTTGTTCGCCTCAAGCATCACAATTTGCGTCTCTCGAACGTTCCGAACGATTCAAAGTAGCGCGCGACGTGACTCGCTGTATATGTGCATCCCTCTCTTTCTTTTGCTGGTAGATCCCTTCTTTTTCTCTCTCGCTAACCGACACTACCTGCAAAGATTCAACATTGCGTCATATCTTTAGCGTCATATTATCGATCTATCTCACGAATCACTACTGCATTTCGCGACTAATAGATCGGCGATCGTCCGATTATATTAGTACTTGAGTGAACCGATGCTATTAGCAAGTGTAAAGGACGCTGACTCGACGCGTCGTGACAGGCACCGAAAGTATGCACCGAAAAACAAGAAGATTCGCTACCAGCGTACTTACGATACGTTCTGACGATCGCACATCATTATGTTCTACACTCCTGATACTTATTTCCGCGCGAGACTCACTTTCGACAGACAAAAAGTGCGTAAAATGCGGAGCGATGTAGATCAATGTGATAATGGCGGTTGCTTGGCGCGAAAAGATCGAAGATGTGCACGCAATTGGTGACGTATGCCGGCAATCAGCGCCACGACGTGAACGTGTCGCGCTCTTACAACTACACGCTCTGTATTGCTTTTCTTTCTCTCTTGCTCGCAGATCGACTTTACCATTCCAGATTCGGCATTTTCTTTTTCCCTTTCCCATGTATTATCATCGAATTTCTAATTCCTGAGTAATAAATTCAACGCGATCGTCCGATTATATTACCACCCGAGTGAATGAACAGCAATAACAAGACGCGACACGTCGCGACAAGCACCGAGTGTGCATGCCGAGAAATGAGAAGGTTATTCGCTACTTACAATATATCCTGACAATCTATATTGTTATGCTCGACACTCTCGATACTTATTTCTGCGCAAGACTCATTTTTGACAGACGCGTAAAACGCGAAGCAATGTCGAACGATGTTAATAGCAGCTGCTCGACGCAAGAGATTCCAAAATGGCCGAGCAATTGATAGTGCATCAATATATCGACCTATTCGATAGGTCGATTTATTCAATAGACTGAAAGGTATTGAACATCTTCGACCTGTCATTGATTCGATTCTAGCTATGCGTTTCTCATAGCTGTTAATTAATTCGGAAAACACTCCCGTTTTATTTATGGTTTATTCAACAGTCATGAGAAATGCATAGCTAGATGCGACTGAACGAAATCTTTTAATAACTATCGAGCTACCGATGATTGAAACTCGTGTACTCCGCGGCGGGGACGGCGACGGCGACGACTTTGATAGCTGAGTTGCGAACCTGCCGCATTTACTGTTGTCCCAAAAGTTGCGCGACGTTTGACATGAAAGCACCCTGCAAGTTAGTGTTTGCAGATTATGTTTCGCCACTGGATATCCCGCAACTGTACTGTTAATAACGTATTTTAGAATTAAATTACGACTAAATATGTGCTAATAAATTAAAGTTACGACAAAGTCTCACCAATTTTCGATCGCGAGAAGTCTAATTATTCTCGCTACGTCTTTTCGCCACCAATTTTGTTTCTTAAAGATACATTTTATTTTATTCTTTCACTTCATTAAATACATCAATATAATGTAATTTTAGCAAAAAAAGTTAAAGAAATTAATTTTTATGTTTGATGCTAAAGAAAGTCGGGACACTGACGTAAAACTGACGTTTTACTGTAGTTTTTGGGAGGGATATATTTGTCCCAATACGGTCACAAATAGAGTGATAGCTGATATAATTTTGAATGGCAAAATAGCTGTTCATTCAATTGAATAAGGTTATTATTAATGGTAGAGAAAACATGTTCCGTTGGTAGCAAAAGGATTAAAGCTAGGGTTGAAAGTTGTGATTACTTTGCACTCATACGTAATTAATACACATTATCACTGGCCCAACCAGTATGTTCAGGTCTGACGATCAATTATTACTGTGCGCAAATTTTCTATTTTATTTAATTACGACACAAAAATCGTTTCATATCGTACAGACATTTCGGCAATGTGTTTGACGTCTCGCGTCATTAACGGCGCGGTGAGCTTCTGTATTTTCCGCCATTAACGCGAATCGCATGCAAGCGCAGTTAAAAATTTCCGCATTTTCCACGTAACGTTGCCGCGCTTACAAATATATATTTGATACTATTTATATTTCTACGGATATTTTAAACAGCTTTGGCTAACTGGATGTACGCTGTCTAATGCGCATTAGTATCGATATAACGATATTATGCAAATATATCACACTCCGCTTCCACCCACGCGTGATTACCGCTCTTATTAGCTGATTAACACAGTTCTGTTCGATCTACCGGGCTGCTCCGCGAACGATTGATTATGGAATATTCGGTGCGGCACGCCACGTACGCTTCGGCCTTCCTATGTATATTGCCTGCACTACCGCCGCAATTTATAAATTCACGAGGGACGATGAAGAGGAAGAGCAGGAGGAAGACACGAGTACCACGGGGTCCCGCAACGGGCGATCTCGAATCTGCCTGAGCGCTCGCTCGCTCGCTCCATTATTCCCGCGATAATTTAAGACGAGCCTGATATATACGTAGCGAGTTTACGCGACGCCATTGTCTCGCGCTGCCGTTATTTATGGGAAGGTCTCGCCTTCCCAAAAACGGAAGGCGCGCTCTGAGCGCGCGAGCGGACCTCGTGATGCGAGTAACAATTGCGATCCTTAGCTCGCGAGGGCGGTAATTAAGGATTAGCGAGGTGATTAGCGAACGCCGCCGGTATTTAAATCTCGCCAGAGCGATCTGAGCGAGCGCACTGCGTTACAGTGTCGCGGGTTCAGGCCAAACAACTGATTATACGCGGCCCGACGCTGAAACTTCCAAGAGCAGACGTTCCAATTACTGGTTCTAATTACGCGTCTCCCTCTCCTCTCTAATACGTCGGCCAACTTCAAATGCGCCGCACAGTGATTAGTGATAAAGAGGCGTGCGCGCGTCTCTGCAAGTGAAAAACTTTCGCTCCTCTGAAATGGAGATATTCCGTCAACGGCAACGAGGGGGATACACGCGCGCACCTAATGACGTCAATTATAATGACGGTAATTAAAAGCGGCCGTGCGAAAGAACGATACGGGAGATTGCACACGTGCCGTAACGTAGCGATACGTTATTCATTTTTATTTAACTCTACTTTCCCGCATACGTCAATCTCATGCTTATTGCGGCAATCAATACGCGTACACGCCGACCGTTACGTTCGACCGCGAGGAAGTCGTTCAGATACTTTTGTTACAGCGCGCTTTACGGCTGCAACGAGGAAATGACGATCGTACGATTTAACAGTTATCGCCACACGTCCCATAGAGCTGTACACAACACACTACTGACACACATCACTGCGACGTAGTGTTAAACGATCAATCGTGCAAACGGTATGAATCGGTATTATTTTACATATATACATATTTGCTTATACAATTAAAAAAAAAACGTCTTTATTAGCTTTACCGCAACGAGTATGTTCGGACAATATCTTCGTTTCAATTTGTGGGATTGAAAAAGTCACGCATATAAAGGCAATGGCTATGTTTCGACGATCTGTCTCCCCATTTCCATCACGTGGCCTTCTCACCCCATTCAATCTCCAATTTCCCGATTAATTGCTTTTTCGGATTAATTATCATTTAATTACTTTATCAGCACAATGACCACCGGTGTATCGCGTCATAAATAATTAATTAGAGGCGAGCCCACACCGAAAAACGGTTTAATTAATGAGCGAACTTTCCGCAACTAGTCCGCTATTGCGAGTCCGCGGCACGTCCGTCGCTCGCAAACACCTGATTCCGCAAACTCGCGCGAGCGCGCGCAACGCATAATCGCCCCGGGTGAGATTTTTCCTCGTCTAAGCTCCGCAGGAGCAGTGACGGACTGCGGAAATTTCTCTTGACGTCACTGATAAGAGCCGTCACTGAAATTTGCCGTAATACGCAAGCATCTTCGCATACCAGTACGCTTTTCGGTCATAGTTGCGTCGACTATGCCCCACTGGCACGTTTGATACTACCATTAAACGCCCGCAGCGCGGATTCTGCATGCATATTAATTAAGATATAACGGACTAGCCGCGTAAATGGCGGGATCATCCCGCATATTCCCCAGCGAAATAGTTGTCTTAAGCCGTACGAATAAATCGTCCGTTGGGTTAACGCGTCTTCCCCGTGTGTTGCCGGTGATTTTCTCGATCGAAGAGTTCTCTCCCTTTTTTCTTCGCATATTGCTCGCCACGTACACATGCATACACACACACACACACACACACACACACACACACACACACACACATACACACACACAACGGAGATCTGGCGCTTAATAATCGACCTGATTTTTCGAAGGGAGAAGCGGTTTCCCCAAGTTTACGACGAATAATACCCATCAGGGGGTCGCGCAAAGCCTATCGAGCCGGTAATAAGTTCAAAAACTCGATCTAAGCAAATGCGCAAATGGATGCTTAAAAGTCGACGGCAGTGATGTTATTTCTCGCGATCCTTTCCGGCGTTTTCTGGCGCCACGCCACCGCCGTTCACCCCGTTGTAATCCGCTGAGCGTCGACGGCGGCGTTGCCAGGATTACACGAAAAGTTCGAACGCTTGTTCGTTTAAGTTATTATAAGACAAGCATCTTCCGCACAACTCTTTTTTTTACCGAGCAAAAAGGGCCAGGTTTTTGTTTCACTGAAAAAAAGAAAAAAAACCTTGCCTCGCAAATATAGTTCCCTGAATTCAAAACTGCCCCCGGGATCGGGGTTGCTGTCTCGCTTAAATTGCGGTTTTCAGTCGCGGACACAATTTTCTTATCTCATTATATGTATTATACTCTCGCATGAGGTGAATAGAATAATTAAATAATTAACTAATTAACGTAGTAATAGTTAATTTGTGTGTGTGTGTGTGTGTGTGTGTGTGTGTGTGTGTGTGTGTGTGTGTGTGTGTGTGTGTGGTGTGTGTACAATGTATTTCTGGTAAACTTCGACATAAAATGAGAGAAGACCGTACGGATTTAAGTGACGGATTACGGTAGATTGTCGTATCAAGAGCTCATTGCGACGTTGACTTATTTGAAGACTTACTTGGACAAAGGTCGAAGATATTAAGAGGATTAAAATCCCCGTACAGCACTTGGCTTGTGCGCGGAGCAATCGTTTCTTGATTAATTAATAAAAAAGTAACTGTACTCTGTCGGCGGATGGAGGAAGAATCGCCATCGTCTGTTCGCGTTTGTTCAGTTAGCTCTTTTTTATTCGTCACTGACTCAGCTTTTTCTCGTGGCACGCGACGAAAGACGCACCCGACAATGAATGGCACACCGACTCAACGATCGGAATTCTAAAGGACGGTCTGGCCTTTGTAACGTAATAGTCGTGCCACGATTGATATTTCGTTTATACTCTCGTGAAAGTGTCCACAATTGAATTTCAATGACGAATACATCAGCTAATCCGCGTAGGATTATTGCTTAACGTACATACCGCGACATCAAAAAGATCGGGAGAACTTCGATGCGACTTCTCGCAAATGAAGGAGCGCGAAAGCGCGCGACGAAAAGTTAATCGTGCTCCGAACGAATTCCATTTACTGAACATTTCGCTCTAAAACGCGATCATACAGAGAGCGATGTTTAATGCGAGAGATCAAAAACTCGACGCAGCTTGTTCAAGGCAATTGTTGGCGAAATTTATCCCGTTTATAGGTCGTGCATAACGAATGCACTGGTTAACTGCCTTGTGGATTTTCATCAAATTCTCTCTCTTATCAAGTTTTCATGAAGCATCGCATAGCTTAAAACTTACATTATACAATGTAATCGCGCGGGTTTGTACTTTGTCCCTGCCACTCTCTTCTGCATGCAAAATGCAGTCGCCTGTAAATGGCACTCGTCGAGCGCTCCATCAAACGTCAGTGATAATTGCGCGCTAAATACAATTTCCGGATAGAATTTGGAATTTCACGAAAAATAGAGGTAGGATTATACACTCGGAAGCGGCCGCGATGTTTTATCCGGTCAATTCCTGTGATACTTAAATCGTGCGCCGACACCGACCTTTTTCCCCTCTGTTTCCAGGCGTTCGCGGGCTGAGCAATGTGTCAATCCACATACCATTGGCAGTGGCAGCTGGCACGACGGTCAACATGTCCTGCATGTACGATCTACAATCGGAAATCCTTTATACCGTCAAATGGTACAAGGGCTCGGAATTTTTTCGATATATCCCCAAGGAGATGCCGCCAATCGGAGTGTTCGGAGAGCTCGGCGCGAAAGTTGTGGTAAATAATATATTGATGGAACGTTTCGATGTCAAAAGTTAGACAGACGCGGTTGCCTTTTTAGCGAACTATTTCATCTAGGAAACAGGTAAAAGCTTTCGTTATCTATTAACGCTTTCGTGATGTTTCACTGGTCGAGATCCTCCAATTTTTATCATTAAACAGTTTCACCGATATGCGCATGGCTTTGAAAACATTTTATTGATCCTTTTCAGAGGAAAAACGGACTGTGATCGAAACTGATGGAAATATCAGTGCATCATGTTTTTTTTTTACTTTATTGCATTATTACCTTCTGTTCAGTATGTAACGTTCCAACGTTTTTGGACAGCTTCAAGTACGATTAAAGTTGACAGTGTTGGCAGACACGCGATGCACATAATTCTCCTCTCTTTCCGCGCTCTTTCGTCACGCTACGGAGTCGAGAAAAGGATCTCATCATCTCTCCGCGAAATATCTCTAATTGGAATCATTAGAAGCGCGTTTCTAGTTTTACCGCAAGTCTCGCATACACGCAATCGAGTTATTTCGAGTCCCACAATAGTTCTGCACTTGTTAAAAGTTGACTCCTACTTTTCAAGGGATCAAGTTTTACATGCCCACATGACGGGCGAATGTCAGAACTCGCCAAAACAAGGGCGAGACACCAGCGTTAAATGTCTCCAAGTTTGCACCGATTCCGTTTTCTCTTAACCGTTCAATTTTCTTTTCATCGCATATATCGTCGAGCAAAACCTTTCGCTGTACTACTTTTTATTATCAATTATTCGGTCGCACTTGAATTGACAGCCATTGTCAAAGTTGTTTCGCGAACGAAAGATTGAGAAGTACAACATTTAACAAAGATTTTTGAAGAGTAACATTTGACATTTACAAGGTTTGCGGCGTAATTCGCGAGTCTTTCAACGGAAAGTACAACTTACAACTGCAGGAACCAGTGATGTCTCGGGGTTCTTGTATCGACAGCGAATTCGATTCGATAAGAGAGCTAGCCCGCGAATTTAACGACGCAATTCTCCCAGGTAGATGCGCATCGCATAACTTCCGTAATTGTATTCTTATCGCCGCGCATTTTCTGCCTTAAAGCGCCGCTTTGACACGCTTTAAATGCGGGGCAAAACGACAAACGCCCCGTCGTCGAGTCGATATCGGTGGAGAGAAGGACGGAACAGCGCTAGTTCACGCCATAACGTTCGCGTGGCGCATGGCAGATTGCTTGCTGCATATGTAGACGAATATTTCCCGCGTGTATATCGGGGATGCATGAAAAAGAAACAGCAATCCGGCGGAAATTTGAAGGTCTGTAAAAATATACAATCCCGCTAATTAAAATGGACGCTGCGCACACAGTGATATGGCCCGTCCGTCGAAATTTCATTTCTTGTCATATATCCTTCATTCGATCCCGTACGAATTTCGCAACGAGAGACAAACACGCCACGCATCACGGACTTATTCGCACAATTAAACGTTACCGGCTCTTATCCGTTAATTGATGCTACGAAAATCGCACATTCATACGTCGAATGTTCGACGGTATTCTCTTTTTTGCACGAAGCGAAGCGGTTCTATGGATAATTGTCATTTGTCTTTCTGTAATACGCTCTAATGTCTCTCTAATGTCTCGCCATTCGATAATTGAAATCCATTAACGCGACGATTCATTTCGGAAGAAAATCCGCAGCATCCTCTCTGTTGCCGTGTACCTTTTCCATTGCTACGCGCGAGTGTAGAATGCATTTATTTCGCGTGTAGAGAGAGAGAAAGAGAGAGAGAGAGTGTGTGTGTGTGTGTGTGTGTGTATGTGCATGCGTGCCGCGCAACGCCGTTAGCGAGTATATTTCTCCAGCTCGCGTTTTACGCGTTGAGAGCATAAAAACTGTATTTTTTTTCTTGTTTTTTTTTCACGTAAAAGGGCGTTTACCGTGCACATGATATCTCGTTCCGGCGTGCATCGTGGCACTTTGTCGCGAGAATTAATTTAACAAAGTAGGCGCGGCAAGCATATCGCGACGCTACATCAAAGAAGTGTGTCGCGGCGCGGCGCGCGAGCTTAAAATAAATTGTCGGGTACTCGAAATACAACGTGGCCACAGGTCGTCGTTATTCATTCGGCGACAGAAATTATAACAGTCTATTTCACGCTCAATAAATACGCGATGGGGCGCGTATTCGCCGTGGAACGCACACATTCTTGCGACGTGAACGCGGAGACGCGACGCGACCGCAGACGATATATCCGGCGTTTAACAAAAACAAAAAGCGATTGTAAATCGCGAGCGTAAGCGTAGAGAATTTTTCCCGGCCAGAAGAGACGACGACGACGACAACGACGACAAGTTTACTCTTGAGCTTTATTGCAATTATTACGGTACGCCGTTACAGAGTCGGCATTCTTTTCTTTGTCTAGCGATTTATGTCCAGCCGCACTGAACTCTTCGTTTCCCCACGTCGTGGGACCTGTCGTTAAAAACGCGGATTATTGTGTACAAATGAGGACACTCACGGCCTTGTTGTTGCTTCGCGCGACCCAGCGGATATAAAACGTTAGCGCGTACACGCGCGTGTGCCTCGTGATTGGGCTGCCGACGTAAGAATATTAGATGTACCGACGGGACGGTACGGAACGTAACGGTGCTCGCGATAAATCGGACGTGATAAATTTTAATATTATTTCGTGAACGTCGCTCGGTTACGTGATCCGGTTACTGAATGCTTCCTTTGCCTCGCTTATTAATGCAAAAGATATTATTCCCGCTAGCCGGTGCCGGCGCAGAGCGCGGTTCGCAAAGTTCGGCAATGTAATCTGCTTCTCATTAGTGTGCATTTGCGCGAAAGGCGAAGGGTTACCTTTGTCGTTTTAAGCGGCAGCCAATAGCCGTCGCGGAAATCTTGCGTGAACTCCAAGCACCGCCGGGATTATCTCCTGTTGAGAGAACCCTTTCTTCTCTCCACGAGAGAGACTTTCTTTTCACGTCTCCGCTTGTTAATGCGACGTTCCAGAAGACACTTTGAATTTATCACGTCGTCACGTCTCGCGTGCGCTCGACTGCACGTCATCGTGTCGCCTGAAAAAAAAGAGAAAGGGAGAAATGAAAAGAGGGGGAGGGAGGAGATTCACTGCGCGATATTTCGAGTTACGCACGTGTGCGCACGCGACCAAAGAAAGAATAATCACTGCAAAATCAACATTTCCAGGTTGAAAGAGTACGAAAAAAAAATGAAAAAAGAAAAAAAAGAAAAATGTACAGTTGAAACGTTTGGCCGAGCTGAATTAAAGCACAGCTGACGGTTTTATTCAAGCCGCATTAAAGCACAACCGCGGCGTTTCGCCTGGGCTCCACGAATTACTCCCAAACGCGATCTCAAAAACACGTTAATACCTTCCTGTTCAATTTCGACACGTTAAACGGCGAAAAGTGACTGTGCAGATTGACTCGCGAGTGCTTTTGAGTCGCGCGAAAACCGCGATCGTCAACATTATTTTACGCGTCCTCTTACAAGAGAACATGATTCTTTAATTAGCTGGGTTATAACTTGGTAATAAATTAGGGCACAAAGCACAGGATGTGACAACATTGCCGTGACACATCGTGCATAATCACACGTCTACCAATTATCGATTATTAATTACCGCGGCGTCGCACAGCCCCCCGTCAAAATCGCTCGCCGGGATTTCCGCACGTCGCCCCTCGACGCGATATTCAAAGATGAATATCGCACGCCCGTCAAGAAGCGACGCAAAGAGCTCGCGCGCGCGATCGATTAGGCGCGTCCTGGCGCGCTGGCGGAAAAACAACGAGGTGAAAAGAGATGTTCCAATCCGCCACGCCAATGTCGGATGTAGCCGTCGCGAGAAAAAGTAATCGTCGCAAAATCAATGTTTTTCGGCGGTGCACGTTGGAAAAAAAAACGGACGGGGGAGTGGGACAAAAAACAAAGAAAAAAGAGACGGAAGAGAGAGAAGCAGTTAAAGAGCCTTGACGCGCGACTGCCGCGATTTCCGCGCGATCCGCTCTGGAGGCCAACGAGAGAGGCGCTTTCGTGCACGCGCGATGGTTTTCCAATTAGATTTTACCGGTGGAAAGTACGAACAGCACTCGGGCCAATAAATCGTGACGCACTCCCGGCGGGGGACAGAAATATAGCGCGAGAATTGCGGCTACGACCGCGGGGACGATATGGGGGTTGGCGAAGCAGAAGAGAGAGGAACGCTGGCGGCGCGGCGGCGGCGGATACGCGGAGGATACTCGATGCGCGATCGCGTTTCGTATTTCGCGAACGACCACGACATTAATATCATTCATTCGCCGGCCGGGCTCGATGAATTTACGCGCGAACGTAACGGCGACCTGGTTTATTGTCGAATCGCGATATTATGTAACCAGGCGCGCGGAGTAGGACGATACGCACCGCTCGTCGTGTTGTCCTTACGCATAAGCGTGCCAGTTGATCTCCGATGCGGATTTGTCCGACCTCTATTCTAATTTTCGAGACAAACACGATGGGCCGGTCGATCGATCGCGTCCCGCCGACTACGGTTGCCGAGGGGCGAGTAAAAACGAAATCGCGTAAAGATGTCGGCTGCTCTGTTAAAGTGGATCAGTGTTTCTGACTGAATCGGTGAAAGGACTGTTTCACCGATTATCAATGATGATGACTGATTGATTGATTTTCGATGAAAGCACTCCCACTTTACTGTTCCGTCTATCTCGCTAATTTTGACTTGTGCACAGAAAAACTAGTATTTATTTAAAGTTAACATACTCAAATTAACAATCATTGTTTTATCGCATTTTCGCAATAATAAATATAATTTTGTTTTGATATCAGTTTAATTCTAGAACTCTAACACGCCTAAAACCTAAACACAGGTGAAATAGAGCCAGACCAGTTTTCTAAATGTCACCGTTCCTACAAAGATGTTTTGTTTTTTTATTAAAACTTTCTTTAACTTTAAAAAAGTATTGAATTTTGATCATTTTTACGGAAATTATGAGCAAATAAAAATACGCTGCACACACACATAAAATTTACCATGTTTAGGATTTACGTAGCTTTTTGATATTTAGAATTTTAGAATTATACTATCTGGGGCTGCTCAGGGCTTCTTGTATCAATATTTTGTGTGCTTTCCATTAATGAGGATTATTTTTTTAGTAATAAAAACATAGATTGTTTTTCGTTGAAAATCATACAAAATATATTCCTGCAAGTAATTTACTTTCGTTTAGCACTTGTAGACTCATTTGAAGAATAATATGTCAAAAATAAAGATATTTTCTCAGCGAGAATGTTGTTCATGTCTGTGTACAAATAAGATTTCGCTGAAATAACGTATAATATACAAATTCGTAGTGTACGCTATGTTAAATTCAATATTCTCGCGTTGGAGACAATAAAATTAACGGTTTCCATGCGCTTTGCGTGCACTGACTATCTGTGTTCGCAAAGTGCATCAATAATGGGAATAGTTGCTACTATTGACTGATCCCTTCAGCGAAATCTTACTGATTGCAGTGCTCTATGCTTCTAACTGAATCAGAAGTTACAAGTATGCCATTTCAGCGAAGAATACACTGATTGCACTTCAGAGAGTAACCGGGCGAGTTCACCGCGTTCTTAGTGGAAGGACGAGAATCTGTGAGAACGATTTCACGTCTCTCGCAACAGTAAATAATAAAATAGGAAAAAATTCTTGGTCTTATATTCGGCCACTGTGGCGAGTTTAACGGACGGAAGACTTGGGTGAGTTCGGTGATCTCTTCTATCGCGACGTCCGAGGTGAATCGTTTTATCTAGGTAGGAACGCCTCGCTTCTTAAAATAGTTTTGTTTATGCGCTGCCCTACATTTCCGCCAAGTTTCATGCTTCTCTGAATTTTCGGCTTGTCAAACTTTCCTTATTCTTTCCTTTCCAAGTTTAGATAACTTCGGACAATCTCCGAGATACACACAGAGTATTTCGAAAGAATGTTAACACTTATGTGGAAGCAACTTCTTCTCTATATAAGTATTTACATTTTTTCGAAGCGAATTCTTCATATAAATAAATAAACATCCTTTGCAAGCATCCTGTGTACAATCACCTCGCCTTCATTTCGGAAGCCCGGACACTTTCTTACAGTCGTTGCGAATCGTTTTTATTCTCGGCATCCTTAACGTCGCGTTGGCGCAGAGTCCGAATTACCGAGATACCGACCGGCGGCCAAAAACACAGTCAAATTACGGTAGTAGCGTCGGCGAAATCCTTTCCTGCGGCGTGAGTCGCCGGAAGCTTCAAGGACGCCCCGGGGGATCGCAGTTTGGCTCTCTTTCGGGACGATACGTGTCCGTCCGTGATATAGCATACGAGCGTGTCGATGCCACAAGCACGGAGCAAACCGCGGCAAAATTAATTGTGTGATTTATACGCTGCCAGCGGCAACATATAATTAATCCCTGTTGCGAGGTATTGTTTGTCGCGGACGAGCGAGCGCGCGAGGACGTCAAAGCGGGCGAGTAAGTGCGATCGATTCGCAATAAATGGCACTTGCCGCCCACCCCGTATATATGCTCGGTCAATTCTGCGGTCGATGCTAAATTAACTCAAAATTCAGTAGGCGTGCCGGCGCTTCCCACCATTGCCGGTCGTTTTACTGGACAAAATAATATGTAATTCATCCGTGCCGCGCTCTCTTTTACCGCGCGCCGCCCTTTCTCGCCTTCTCCCATCCCCGCTGAAGGAGGGGCTATTAATCTTAATCATTTTAACGGCATAGTTTCACCCGCGACGGAATATAATCGCGAAGAACGCCATCTTCGGAGTCGCGTTATCGGCGAGACGATGAAATATCGCGAACAATATCGCCGGAGTGACTTGTGTAATTATGTAATTTATCTTTCGAGATCTAGACAATTGTGAATGTGCGGGGAAAGCGAGCCGCGCGTCAGAGATATTGCGCGATGTTGTCTCACGAAATTGCCGGTATTTATTCTCGTCTTGTGAGAGAGATAATCATGTCGAAAGACGACTTTATTTATTTAACGAGCCCTCGAACACAGAGACACACGCCGTAAGTAACAGGCCACAAGGTCGTCACGAGCCGTCTCTGTGCATTCGCGCGAGTCCATGCACTTCTGTCAGCGATACCGCGTGGAAAAGAGCGACGCAAGGAGAAACGTAGCTCGTGATATTCGCGGCGAATAAATGATATTGGCTCTCGAGAACGAATTGAGACAAACCGCTCACACACAGATACGACAACGCGTTACTTGTTGCACTTGATGCCGACAGTTCGATACAATTTCACGCTGCATTGTATAACATAGGCGTGTTTACGATTGCATCTTGCATAATACAGAACCTCTCCTCGGCAACACAAACATTACAATTACCAGATGGATTTTGTCGATTAGTGCATACACGAAGCGGCAGCTGCATCACGAATGCGCGTATGTGTGTTTCGCAATCGGCGCGCACACGTGTATCCCTGTCGCCGTGAATAATACCCGCTAATTACGTTTCAGACAAATCGGAGCGACGCGCATCGAGTGGTCCTGAAGGATGTGCAACCCAATCATACTGGCAAATATCGCTGCGAGGTCTCCGGAGATTCCCCCACATTCAGCACTGTAATGGTTGCCGCTTACATGCACGTAGCTAGTGAGTATACTTGCAGCAGCGTATTTTACATCCGAGCAAAGATAACACAACGCATGCACCGAAGAGAGAAAGAGAGAGAGAGAGAGAGAGAACTCGACGCGTGGCAGAGCAAACACGGGCTTCCTATGAATGAATCCCGATACCCGAGTAAATACGCGAGCGAGAAGGCAGAGCGGAAGGCGACGTTCGCGAGAAAACTGCAGCGTAATTCCGCGTGGCGAGATTATCGTGCGCGTGGGACGATTGATCGCGAGTAATCGAATGACCGGGCTTTCTCGGAGGAAACGATATTTGGCAACGTGCGACTGAAAAGAGCATCGCAATCGCTTCGGATAGTGCAAGACACACATGTCGGGAAAAATCTCGAGAGGTGCGCGACCGAGCATCGCCCAACGCGACTGGAAATCGCGAGCGAGAGTCTCGAATGAAGAAAATGGCTTTTTAATTTCGTCACTTGATGTTTTCGCAATCCCCGCGCGAGTTAACGAGCGCGCGTCTCGTGATATCGAATTCTCATTTTGCGCCGCATAACATGAGCGAATTAAACTCGAGCACACTTCTCGTATACTCGCGTATACTTCGCGCAATCTCTTTTGCCTTTTTTCTCCCGACGAGTTTCTCGCGTTTCCCAAGTGTGCTCAGTGCAGGTGAAAAGATGCTTTCTTGTTTTTTTTTTTTCCAAATAACGAAGAATTTCGTCGACGCGCGTAGAAAGTGAATAAACAGTCAAAGTATTTTTACCTCGCACGGGGGCCTAAATTACTATAGTCGAAATTTTGCCTCTGCATTAAGCCGCAAATCTCATCGAATTTGATCCTCAATATGAAGGGAACAAACAATTATTTACAGCATCGAGGTGAAACAAGAGTCTGACTTCGAGATTGGTGTTTCCAAATTCAACAGAATTTGTACATGCGGAATTAACATGCAGTCAGAATTCTGTGTGCAGCGACCTTCGCATGTCGAGTCAACAAGCAATGGCTTGATTGTACGTCACGAAATTTATAAGGTCACGGAATCCATAATTGTTAGATTGGCCCTTGATGAATCTTATAAATTGTGGAATCCGCAAGATTTATGCGGCTGATAATGATCGGTAATGTATCGAACGTCGCCATAAATTTGTCGGGCTCACGGGGACGCGAGTGACACCCGTGGAGAAAAACGGCTTCCTATATTTTATTAAGTCGCGGAACCTGTAAAATATACGCGCGGCCGCCTGCCAGCGGCTCTCAGCCGGCCCGATGCAGGAAATTACACGTTAACGTTACAGCTGACTCCCCTCTACTGGTACTCTACTGCTTATCCCCGCGCGAGCTCGGCGACAAAAAGCCCCGGCGTCATTATCCTTGATAACAGCGCGCAATAAACCTGTCCGCGGGACAGAACTCCGCCGATCGGCCGATGCTTATTGAATCCCGCGCCCATCCGCCGTCCGATGCAGGCCGTGGCCGAGAAAAAGCGTGAAAGCCACCGCTAATTTCGCCATTTAGTGCCATCAAAGCGTTAAGTGGATAACGTTAATTTATGAGCGCCATTCTCCCATCGGCTATCGTTGTTTAGGCTGGCCGCGCACGATCGTCTCGTATAATTCTCGTTGGTAACGCGGATAATTGCTGCGACCAATCCCGCCAGCGAGAGAGGAGTTTTTTTACCGGCGCCCTTCGTGTACAGCGACACCCATTCCGCGCCAGTTGGGGACGCATTGTTAAAATTCAATAAAAACAATTCACATCGTCCTCTACGAACGCGACCGCGGTCGCGGTCGCCGCGAAGGCGACGCCGGCGAAGTGGACACACGAGGATCCGTGACGAATCGTGGATTCGGTCGTGACCCGTAAGTTTTTTGCCGAGTTCGCCACGACTACTCCTCGTGCGCTGCCGGGTACAGCAGCTTCTCTCCGGCACGTCTTTCGCGAGAGCGCCTTTCATTATCGTCGTTGATTATCCTACACGGCGACTAGTATTGTCACCGTAATCGCGCCCAATTAAAACGCAGTTAAGCGAAGGGAGAGCGAGAGAGAAAGATGGAGAAAGGGATCGTGGCGAGGGCGGAAGGGAGACGTGGTCGTGGAAAAGAAGACGCGGAGGAGCGTCGAGTCTCGTTCCCACCGTTCCTTGCAGCCGCCGCCGCCGTCGTCGTCGTCGTCGTCGTGCGTCGACCTAACGACGCCACAAGCACGGTAGCGATCCCTCCTTTGAAGGAACAAGGTGATTGCCTCCTCTTTCCGATCACGGGTCGCTCGTAAAAGCTCGATACTAGATCGGGGGCTCGAATCTCGCCTTGTACTCACCTTCGTATACCGCCCTCTTTCTCTATGAGAGCGTCTCGTTCGCTCCTTCCTGCTAGTTCTCACGAGACCGACCGATCATGCCGTTCCACACGACACACGTTGAAAATGGTAATATCCCTCGGCCGTGTCCTTGAGACTCGACGAGATCGCGCGAGGAAGGAGCGGTCCGAGGCGGAAGTCGGAGGGAGTCCAGGGAGAGAAGTGAGAGACAATTCCTTGACAGCTGTGCACAGAATCGCCACCGAGAGAACCAAGAGGAATCGACTGCCTTCTGTGGACGTTATAATGATCCCCGAGATGTACTTGATACGTTATGTATATATATATGTTACGCGAACGAGAGAGCGAGGTTCGAACTTGGCTTAATGACGATGATGTTCGCGGAAATGTCCAGGTTGTTCCGCGGCTCTAAGCTGACTTATCGCGTGCGAACGAAGGAACGAGCGGCTACTGCATCGACATGGCCCACCGCTAAAGCCGATTTTGAATAAATCTATACGCAACGGGCGAGAGCGCGTTTTATATTTATGAAGGCGCGTATACATGCGCGCTAGCGAAAGCGCGAACGCACTCGGGCTTTGTACGGAAACGTTACTTCTAATTTACGGCGGACGCATCCCTCTTTCAATTCAATTTCCCGAGATGCGAAACGCGTCGGCGCGATATCCGCGTATAAGCGGAAACCCTCGCGCCATTGTTCGGGAATAAAAGTTACGTTTTTGTCGTATTGCACGTTCCCCGTATGTCGTAACTCGTCGGCGCGGCTGTGAAGCAATTAACAACGCGTAACACTTTGCGCGTGCATGAAATTGAAATAGGAAACAGTATCCTTTATCAAAAGAATCCTTTATAGCAAGTGGCAATTATTTCGTGTAATAAGAGAAAGTAGAAATATTTGTACGATACGCACGGATGTAATTAAGATATATATCTGCCAAACTGCAGTGACGTACGCTCTACAAATCTAATCTGAAGTGTTCGAAGTCGACGGATAAATCGGCATGTATCGAGTGTACATCGTCCATACAAGCCATGTCGAACATAGCGTATTCTACGCGTGACGCAAAGACGTTCGCTATGCCAGGTCGCAAAGTCGAGGTCGCTAAATAGCGCAAAAAGCGTCATTCGCGATTTCCGCGTGAAACGCTTTTCGACACCGCGAACAATGATCCCGGTCGTGAACTATCGCGGCGCTTTCGCCGCGCGTGTTTTTGTCCTCGGCCGTAGTCGAAGGAAGCGGCCGTAACAATGGCCATGGCTGTCCGTTATCCATGACAAAAACTCGCGTGGTATCCGACTGTTACCATAAGGTACTTTAAATTTCCAGGTCTACCAAACGGCGATCCTCAACTGCGGGTGGAGAAGACGCGCTACGCGGTCGGCGACACTGTACGTGGAAACTGCACGGTACCGTCGGGAAATCCTCCGGCTAACGTGACGTGGACTGTCAATGGGACACCGGTAGGTTGATGAATGTGAAAAGTGTCCGGGGAATCCACCCCTCGAGCGTTCTCGCTGATTCATGACGAGCCGCATAAATATTAATTCTACTCGTGTCTTGTTCCCGTGATATATACTGGCCGTCACGAAATTTTTGCAAGTCTCATCCGCGACAGGCCACGCACGAATTTCTGAACGGCTCCGCTAAACAAATATATTGGATCGCTTGGTTGGTTTCTATGTAATCCAATACGAATGTAACGTCTGAATTTTTTTATAAATAAGCGAATTTTTTATAAATAATTTTTCACACATAAAAGTCCTCCGACTCTATAGAAGCGGAGTACACGAATAGTGAATAATTTTTGACCCGAGTGTATAACAATATTGAAAATTATTATTTTTTTAATGGATTATGGAATGTATGTGATAAAAATATCAAATTTGAAATTAACTGACGACCTACCAAGCACACATAATCGAAATAACAATGACAAAGCGTATATCTACAATCATAATAAGCAATCGTTGTGGAAACCACATGAATGTAGCGTCAAAGGTTCTCGAGAAATAAGACCCAAAATTTTGGCACAAATCACAAAGGAAACTTCAGGAGTGCGAAAACAAAATTTTGAAGAAAAATTTTGAAGAGAAAAGTCTCTTCCATTCAAAATAAGCAATCAGAATGAAGCCGCATTGACGTAGAGTTTCGCGTTCTCGAGTAATAGGCCCTAAAAGTTCGACACAAATCAGACAAGTGAAATACCAGGTGAACAAAAAAATGTTTGAAACATCAGAGAACCCCACTATCAAAATAAGTCATCGCTGTGGAAACTGGATTTTCGTGGTGTCACGTGTTGTGGAGAAATAGTTCGCTATATGACAGACAGATGAAAATGTAGGTGTGCAAGAAAAAATTTCAAACACATGACATTATTCTCCTATCAAAATAAATCGTCACCTAAACCGCATTCCCGTCGAATCACGCGGTCTCCAGTAATAAGCCCCGAAATTTTGTCATATGACAGACAGGTAAGAATCCAGGTGTGCGAGAGAAAAAGTTCAAACGCATAACACTATTCTCCTATCAAAATAACTCATCGCAATGCAAACTGTATTCCCGCCCGATCACGCCTACTCGAGTAACAAGTCCCGAAAGTTTGTCATGTGACAGACAGGGAATTTCCAGGTGTACGAGAGAAAAATTTCAAACGTATGACTCTGTTTTACTATCAAAATAAATAATCGCAATGCAAACTACATATATTGCTGTTCGATCACGCGTTTTTTAGTAATAAGCTCCGAAATTTGGCGACATGACAAACAGATAAGATTCCAGATGCGCGAGAAAAAAATCTTAAACGTATAACACTATTCTCCTACCAAAATAAGTAATCGCAGTGCAAACCGTATTCCCGTCCTATCACGCGTTTTCGAATAATAAGCCCCGAAATTTGGCGACATGACAAACAGGTGAGATTCCAGATGTGCGAGAAAAAATTTTAAACGTATGACTGTTCTACTACCAAAATAAATATTCGCAATGCAAATCGTATTCCCGTCCGATCACGCATACTCAATAAACCCCGAAATTTGGCGACATGACAAACAGATGAGATTCTAGATGCACGAGAAAAAAATTTCAAACGTATGACTCTGTTCTACTACCAAAATAAATACTTGCAGTGCAAACCGTATTCCTATCCGATCACGCGTTTTCAAGTAATAACCCCCAAAATTTGGCGACATGACAGACAGGTGAGATTCCAGGTGCGCGAGAAAAAATTTTAAACTTATGATTTTGTTCTATCAAAATAAGTAATCGCAGTGCAAACGGTATTCCCGTCTGATCACGCGCTCTCGAGTAATATGTCCCGAAAGTTTATCATGTGACAGACAGGTAAGTTTTCAAAGAGTTTTCAAAAAGTTTTCTCTTCTACTGTCATAATAAGCAATTGTGCAAATGTCGCGTCATATACCCTTATAGAAATGTAATACTGATAAGTAATTATCACTGGCCAAATTATTACTTATCAGTATTACATTTCTATAAGGATATTCTCTAGAAATAAACTTTGAAGTCGAAGGAATATACAGGGTGTTTTTTTTTAACTTGAGACTGCTAAATATCTCGAAAAATAAGCATTGTACGACAAAAATGTCCCAAATAAACCCTCAATAGTTTCGAGGGCGCAATTCAATCCCACAAAAATTATCCACCTCCCGCCCTGGGGATGGGGCGGGGGGTAACTTTGAAATCTTAAATGGGAACCCCTACTTTTTATTACAGATTCGGATTCTACATCGAAAAACATGTAACTTTTGTCTGAACTTTTTTTTTCTATTTCTGATAGATGGCGCTGCATTCGGCGAAAA